ACTTCTCCATCTCTGATGCCTAGACCATCTTTTAAAGGGCTCGACTAATTAGATCGGACCCCATCAGGAAATTTTTTGATTTCATCAGAGCCATCTGATTAGAGGCCTTGATTATATCTGCAAAATGGGTACACAGTGCGCTGAAAGGAAGCACCAAGGGAGGGGCCACCAGGAGGGCTTCCTTCCAGGCTGTGCCCAGGTTCTCACAGGTCTGTTGTGTCCCCTCCCAGCTGGGCCATGACGGGGCCTCTCCCGAGAGCTGCTGGCTGGTGGAGGAGCTGTGCTTGTCGGTGCCCACCCAGGGCACAAAGTACACACTGCGCTGCAACTGCTGGCTGGCCAAGGACCGAGGTGACGGCATCACCTCCCGTGTCTTTGACCTCCTGGATGCCATGGTGGTGAACATCGGGGTGAAGGTAGGGGGCGCTGTGAGCGTGCATTGCATGGCCAGGATGGTGCAGGCTGAAGCAGGAGCAGCAGAGTTGGAAGTAGAGGAAGTAGGAGACACATCCCAGGGCATCCTGGTGTGGGGCTGGACGTGCTGAGCCAGGGGCAGAGCCTGAGCTCTCTCGTGGTCTGCTGCTGTGTGATCTTGGGCAAGTCACCTGCTTCTCTGTGTCTTGGTCTGCAAATGGAAGTAATATTTCCTGGCTACTCGTGGCTTGTTCCATGTAGGATCTTGGTGCGACCTAATGAGATCACAGTTTACAAAGAGCTTTGCAAGGTGACATCTCTACATAGACATGTAGGCTACTTGTTCTACAGAGGATGCTTCATTAGTACAGTAGGATGGTGATGGGGAGTGGGCATCTGCGGTACTGTGAGCCTCTGGGTCTCACAGTGCAGCCACTGCTGTCCACATGAGACCCTCCTCCACTGGAAAAGCCTAGAAGGCAGGAGATCTGAGCTCCTGTCCTGGCTCTACCTCCAACTGACAAACAACCTGGGACAAATTATATAAAACTTACAGGTCAGCCTAGGCAGAAGGCAGGATGCCTGGTGTTGGGGCCCAAAGACACACAGCCTGTTGGTGGCCCAGAAGCTTCAAATTCACCTGACCCTAGAGGTCTTTTTCTCTCGTAACAGTGGAGTCTACAGAAGGTCCCAGCCCTTATCTGAATCCAAACCACTGGGCTAGTCGGCTTAGCTCAGAAGCCATTCCACAAAGGTGAGAAGGATTCACCTGGACCTGGGAGTGCCCTGCCTACATCATATAGGGAAACAGAAGGAGGGGTTGAGTTCTGGGCTCTAAAACCCTCGGCAGGCGGGAGTGGGGGAGCAACAGCACATACATCCCCCACCCCAGACAGCTCCACCTGTGCTGCACAATTCATCCAGGGACCTTTGCCTGCCCCAGTTCCCAGCCTGTGTGTGCCTGTACACACCACCCCCAGCACACACACGCACCCCACACAGTGCAGCTGTATCTCGCGCCGAGCCCTTTAGTCCAGGAAAATCCAGGCCCACACCCCTGTTATTCATGGTACAAAAGAACGCAGGCTTGTTACTTTGCAAAGAACTGCAGGGTTCTTTGGATGGGCTATCTCTCCAGGACGTCTGATATCAGACTAGAATTACAAGAACGCTGTTTCTGTCTCTCTTTGGAAACATACCTATTACATAAAAAGAGACGTGCCCGTGTAAAGGACAGAGAATGGATGCAGAGAACACAGGAGCTAGATGGAGCAGCCCTCAAGGGCCAGTATCCATGAGACTGCCAAAGCATTCGTTTTGATCATTCTATTTTTTATGCTTGTCTGGATAAGAGCAAAAAAATGTCAGGCTCCAACTTCTGTTCATTTCTTCCTGCCCATCATGAACACCCTTGCTGGGTGGTCTAAGGGAGTTTTCCTGGTAAAGTAAGAGGCCCTCCACCATTCCCTCATCAAACATGTCCCTAACTTCCATGGGCTAGGCCCACATAATACTCCAGATCTTGCAGTGTCACAGCAATGATTTTAGGAGCTGCTGGACAAACAGGCAGCACCCACTAGGCACCATGCAAGGAGCATGACCGCTGGGGCAAATAACTTGGGTTCTGAGTTCCAAGGCTTCTGGTAGTGCAGACCAGTGCCCTGCACAGGGGATAACAGAAAGCGGCAGCCACAGAGAATGGGTGGGGGCGGGGGGGCGCAGGTACATTCAGAAGAGACAGTCAGCCTGGCCTTTCCTCTGCTGTGTGTAGCTGGACCTTTAGACCTCATTGCCAGTCCATGGGCACCTGGTAAGAATAAGAATCTAGGACCAAAGAACATTCCAGAATGTGGGGGTAAATGATGCCTCTTGCCATGATGGTGCCTCACAAAAGAAGAACCAAGGCAGGGCCTCATGAGGGCACCTCCGGGAAGAGCAGGCCTCTCCCTCACCCTCCAGGGGAGACAAAGCACACATGGCCTTTTCAGAGTCAGCCTCAGGCAAAACAGTAAAATCCCAGACTGAGGTGAAAATCACGTGTGACGAGGTTGTCCCATTTCCCAAGTGGGTGGAGGCCAGGTCCCTTAATGTCTCCCCCCACCCCCATGGTGCTCCACTGTCACAAACCTCAGGGCGTGTGCTGGCTGTGGCACAAGGGGGCAGACACTCAGAACGTGGCTTTGTCAGGTCCAGCTCCAGGCCCCAGTGCAAGGTGACTGCAGATCCCACCCTGGGCAGCCCAGTTCCTCCCTATTTACTGCAAGGGAAGCAGAGGCTGGCCAGGTGGGATGCTGGCCTAGGGTTACCAGCCAACACGTGGCTGACCTGGGATTCCCACGGAGCTCTGGATGGCTCCAAAAGCCACTGTCTTGCCACCATGCCCTGCTAGCATCATTGACTCAGTCTGGGACTTGACTGACAAAGAATAAACCGGTGAACACCGGGGCTTTTGTTCATGTTATTTTGCACCACACATTCATTATCAGAAACTGATCTCTTCTCCAGTGCTGGACTGGGCCCAGGGTGGACGTTAGAGAACGACCAGGCCTGACCTGCTGTCTAGACATTTACAATTAATTAGGGGGAGGGCTCTTCTCAGGAGCCTCAGCACTTGGAGGGCATGTCTGCTTTCTCCGGTGAGACTGAGGCTGGGCATGTGGGGTAGGAGGTGGAGCCAAGGACCTGTGTCCCTCTCATGGCAGGTGCTCTATGAAATGACAGTGTGGACAGGGGACGTGGTCGGCGGGGGCACTGACTCCAACATCTTTATGACCCTCTATGGCATCAATGGGAGCACAGAGGAGGTGCAGCTGGACAAAAAGAAAGCCAGGTACTCCGACGCAGCCCCCGCCACTCACCCTTCCCACATCCAACTTTCTGCCCTCTGTCCCACTCGGCCAGCAGCCAAGCTGGTACTCTCACCCCCTCTGAACCGTGTGGCTTTCCAACCTTCACATCTTTGTCCATTCTGTCCCCCTACCCGTCCCTTTCAAGGGCCAACTCAAATTTACCTCCTCCAGGAAGCCTTCCTTGATCACCTCACCCCACAGTAACTCCTTCCTTTCTTTTTTCTTTCATTTGGTCACTGAGGTCTGTAGATCAGTAGTTGATAGTATTATATTGTTAATTTCCTGGTTTCATTAACTAACAATGGGAATGTAAGCTGCTGACACTAGGGGAAGGTAGGAGAAGGGTACACAGAAGCTCTGTTCTATTTCTGCAACTTTTCTATAAGTCTAAAATGATCACAAAATAAAAATCCATAAATTTTCAAAACATTTAAAAAAAATGAGTGAACACCTAGTATATGCCAGGCACTGACTCAGGCACTGGAGAGAGAGTACAACCAGAAGACAAGGTCACCAACTCATAGAACTTCATATCTGGGGGTGTCAATGCTGGCAACACTAACATTTATATGGGCTTATTTTGTGCCAGGCACTGTTGTAAGCCATGTGTCGGCACACCCGGTCCTTTCCACAATGCTATGAGGACTATTATTACCATTCCCATTTTACAGGTGAGGAAACTGAGGTGTGGCAAAGTGGAGTCATAATGCTCAAGGTCCCATACCCAGTATGCTGTGGCACTGGGAACCAAACCCAGATGGTCCCCAGTCCTATAGATGAGGCTCTGCCACCTCTTAAGATCATGATTAGAAATGACAGTAAAGGTAGCTCTTCTGTAGTCCTTACTCTCTTTTCCCTCGCCGGATCCCCAGTTTGGACAATCTTGGGACTGGGCTAGTTTTTCATCTTCAACCATTGTCCCCCAAGCATCCTTGGACCCTAACATCTTAAGAACCGGAGGGGTAGACTCACAGCCTAAACATAGGGTTTTTAAAACCCACCCATAGCCACTTGCCTCTGAACCAACAGCCCCTACCCCCCAGCAGGAGGGTCCAGAGCGGCTTCCTCTTTGGGCCCCTCACAATTCCTGGCTTTGGTCCTGCATGTAGTGGGCACTCAGTGAGTACTTCTGATGGTGCTGGTGGTGAGGGTGGTTTGCAGGCTGGTGAGGATGGTGAGGATGGGTTAGGGTTAGGGTTAGTAATGATGGTAGTGGTGGTGATTATGGTAGTGACAGTGATGACAGGGATGAAAGACGATGGAGATGAGGATGCTGAAGCTCTGGGGGTTCAAGCCGGGATTTCTTTTCACAGAAAAATCAGCTCATGAGAGCCAGAGCTTTGCACATCCTATGCACCTCATCTTCAGGGGTCTGATGAGAACAGGTTTTGCCTGCCTTCTCAGTGCTTCTGCTCTCTCATTATGCAACTTCCATTCTTTCCTGGAATTCTTCCCAGATCAGCTAGCCATGGTGATAACAGTAATCAAGGCTGACATTTATTGAACAATTATTCCATGCCAGACATTGTGGTGAGGGCTTCTCAATATATATTAACTCACATCAGCCCTGTTAGCATGCTCTCTGATCCTCTCCGCTTCACAAAGAGCCTAAGAGAGATAAAGTAATTTTCCCAAGGTCACACAGCTAGGAAACTGAGGAACTGGGATTTAAACTTAGGCAGTTGTGGAAATAAAGGAAAACCAAAGGAGGACAGAGACTATTTCTTTAGAACTTGCTTTAGCAAGGGAATTAGTCACCATCACTTGGTGTAGCAGAGTCTCAAAGGCTTGTAGGAAAGTGGGAAAACTTTGTAGTGAAGCATTATTTTTGGATGGTAAAGCCGACGCAAGTTAACTAGAATTGGGGCATCTTATGTGATTGGATAGGGAACTTATTTGAATTTCTCTGGTTGGTCCTGGGAGTTGGAAGCATGGACAAAATAAGGAAGCTGGCGATCATTCTGGGCCAATTGCTGCAGAGACTGTGGTTTCCTGGGATGGTCACTGCAGAGATTGTGAGTCAGAGTTCTATTATGATACCAGGCCTGGCTATTATCTATCTATTTGTTTATGCAGCCTCTCACAGTCTTCACCGCTATACTCCGACTCTAATTTTCACCCAACTGCAAATTTCTGGATTTTCTCTGATCAATTATCCCACACCTACATTTCACCTTATCTTCCAGATGTACAAGACTTAATTGCTGGTAGAAGAGATAGGAATCTTATTTCTAAGAGTATCTAAATTCTGGAAGTGTTGCTTGAAAATCTCATCACTATAAACAGAACCATATTGTAAATGCTTCAAGGCACCTTGTTAGTTAAAAGATTGTTTTTCTAAGCAAAGATTTATTTTGTAAGGAGTGCCATCATTTCTTAATTGCTCTGGTTTGCAAGCTCAGAACTCTTACCTAAGGCATGTTTTGCTTTTTTCATTTGCATGTGGCTCCATGTCTTACCTATGACCTGGAGCCCTTGTTATGGGTGTCTGCATTTTGACCAGGGGACTGGGATAGAAAGACCCACTGGGTGTGTTTGTGAGCACAGCTTGGTATTATGGAAGGTAATACCAAGAAATGGCACATGACCAGGCTGAAGCTGAGACCCGGATGCACACAGAAGACACCGTGGCCTTTTCCTGCTGCAGTAGGACAACATACTGTCTTTAGATGCCATACCCAGAGACCAAAGCTTAGCACAGCCCAGAGAAATTCACCCAGCCCACTTTCCAGCTAAATTCCCTGACTTCTCATCTTGCCACTTCAGGGGAAATTGTTCTGTAAAATAATTCACACTGAGATGCTGATGTTTTGTTTTGTTTTTGAGATCCTGATGAATTAATGTGGTAGTCAAAAAAGGAGATGCCCTAAAAGGTAAAGCTCAAACTCAAGGAAGGGGTTTCTAACCATGGAATTTGAGTCAATTGGTGTCCAGCGGGTATGGGGGTTTATTTAGACAATGGGTTGTTGTTTTTCTGTAGAGGAAAGTAAATGCCTGCAAGTAATCATTCCTGGGCCTAGTGGGGACCCAGGGAATTAGGAGCTTCCTTGGTCTGCACACAAATGGGATTTGGAGAGTTCTGTTGGTTTTGCCACTCAGGGTGGCCTGGGCTTTTACTAACCATTAGGGCAAAGAGCACAGGGAAAGGCTGAGCTCAAGGGAATGGACACAGAGGGCAGACAGCCAAATGGGATTCTGGTTGTCCTTTCAAGAGAGGATCTTGAAATATATGGCCAAGACCAGGACTATAGTGGGTGTGTAAGTTTTTATTTCTTCTTCCACATCTTTATCACCCAGATCTGAGGTTAGCAAGAAAGCTCTGAGAACTGAAAGGACTTATATTTGGGAACTTTACAAGTGGAGGAGTTGGGTGGGGAAGCTCAGGGGGCTGAGAGTGAGTCCCAGAGGAGACTGAATGGGGGCCATATGAGAGAAGAGGAAGGCAGGCCAGGTTCCAGGGCCTGCTGCCTTCAAAGGGCACCCAGGTCAGGCAGATGAAAAACTTTAGCACTCACTTCTGGGTACCCTCCTAAAGCATCATCTCCAGCTCAGAGGCCATGTTCTAAGCAGACACTGGCAGATCTGAATATTCACTAGGTCCTGTCCATGGCATTTGAAAATAGTAGAGGCTCAGAGTCTCTTTGAGATTTTACTTTTGTCTGCTCTCAAACCATTGTAGGGATGCTTGAGAGATAGGGATACAAACTCTCTGTTGTCGCTTGTGTCTCATGGGACATACATAAAGTGCAGTTGTCTTCATGATCCCCAAGGAGGGAGCTGAGGAGCCAGGATCAGATCATCTGTCTGGGGGCTCTGCCTTTTGTACCCCAGTCACTTTAGCCCTGCAGACATCTGCACCACTACTGAGGCCCTGCAGATACCTACTGTGCCACCTGCTGCTCACTCATCCCAGGCCTTGGAATTCTTCCTGTGTGTATTCCAGGGCAGCCTCTCCCTATCTGTCCCCTTTATAGTCTCAAGTTGTCCATTCAGGGCACTTCAAGCTGTATTCATTTCCTGAGGTTGTAACTCAATATTATTGCAAAGAAACCAAGTGGCTTAAAACAACAGAAATTTATTCTTTCACATTTCTGCCAGTCATAAATCTAAAATCAGTAACAATGGATGAAAATCAAGTGTTGGCCTAGCTGTGTGCCCTCCAGAGGTGCTAGGAGAGAAAACTTGCCCCTTCTTGCTTCTGGTGGCTGCCAGCATTCCTTGGCTTGTGGCCACATCACTTCAGTCTTCAAGGGCAGATCCTCCAGTCTCTGTTCCATCTTCACACCACCCCCTCCTTTGTGTATGTGTTGAATCTCTCTCTGCCTCCTTCTTGTAAAGACACTTGTAATTACATTAAGGACCCACCTGGCTAATCCAGGATAATCTCCCCATCTCAAGACCTTTAACTTAATTACATTTATAAAGACCTCTTTTCTGCCATGTAAGGTAACATACCCTGGTTACTAAAATTAAGATATGGATATACAGGGTGAGGGAGGCATTTTTTAGCCTACCAGAGGGCCACAACCCATAGAGCATGGACCTGAAAATCTTGCCACATGAGAACAGCCAAAAGTTCTAGTTACATTTACATTTTTAAACTCTTCATTATGAAACATAACACATACATAAAAGTATATAAATCAGAAAGAATTATAAAGCAAAAATTCATGTAACAACCACCCAGGCCAAAAAATTGAACCTTGCCCATTCTTGGCTTTTAAGGTAAACATTCTCTTACTTTCCTTTATTGCTTTACCCCCAATTCCTACGTCCATCCTTGAGATATATGCTTTCATATAACCTGGATGCCAATGTTACATATATAGAACCAGTCTGTGTGTCTTCTTGCACGTGTCTTCTTTTGCTAAATGTCAGGTTTATCTTGTTTCCCTGAGCTGTGAGTTGACTGTGGCTTCTTTGTTTGTTTTCATTGCTTCATGCTATTCCACTGAGGAGCCTGGAGCAGAGAGGATTTGGTGGCTTGTTGGCAAGGAGTGGGGAGGGAAAACAGCAGAAGCATCTAGGTCCATTATTGGGTGGATAATTCAACAATCGGTTCTGGTGACAGGACTCAATATAACAAAAGTTTGCCAAGAGTTGTCCATGGCTGTCCCAAAGGAAAAAGAGCTACCCAGGTGGCCTTGGGGCCACAACAATGGAGCCAACCAAGCATGGGCTTGACAGCCTGGGGTGTGGTTAACCCCAAACTGGAAGGAGGTTAGTCTAATATGAAGCTAAGGCTAAAGCTCTAACCCTGGACAGTCCTGAGATCCCCAGCTATGCCTGTGAGATGCCACAGAAGCAAACTTCCTGGCAGCTGCCCACCAAGCAGCCATGGGCCCCACACCATTTGTCCCCATCTACCAGATAGCCCCTTCTCAGAACCCCTACCCACAGCTCTTCTCTGGCTTCTTAGCAAGGCCTAAAACTCTTCTATCAAGAAGTTATCTTTCCAACTTAAGGCTTTGGCCCTGGTTAGCCATCAGGCTGGGCTCAGTCAGAGGGTCCAGTGGGGGAGTGTGTTCTGGACCCCTCCTTGAGCACAGCCTTTGACAGTGGGGAACAGAGGGAACCAGAAGAGGAAGAAAGAGAGGGGTGGCCAAAGGTGGCCCTCCCCAAACATCACCCCTCAGCTGCTGAGCAGAGGCCCCTTTGGGTAGAAGAGCAGCACAAACCCTGGCCACTTCCACAGCCCTGTCCCTTTAGACCTGGGATGAGACCTGCACCAAAGGCTGGCGTTGCTCCAGTGGTGGCCTCACAGTGTGGGGGTCTTACTTTCCACTGAGGGGTCTGGCCTAGCAGGAAGGCCATGGCTAGAGATTCACAGAGGACTGAAGGACCAAAATGGGTATTCCCTTTGCAAGTGGACATTTTATCCCAGGAAAGGATGTCCACTCAGATTTATTGGAGATTATACCATAAGGAAGGATGAGAGGCAAGTGTAATCTATTTTTCAGTCTTCTAGAAGAAAAGCTCGCTTCTCTACCCTCTTTCCTTACCCACCTGTCCCACCATAAAATGTCTATAAAATGAAGACGCTTCGCTAAACTCAAAGGGTGAAAATTAAAGAGACATCCAAAGGAAAGAAAGCTAAAGCTCTTTTGATCTGCCAAGTTGTGCTTCAGGCAAGAGTAAGGAATTGAAAGATTGTTTAAGAGATTCTCAGTGTGTGATGCGAGAGTGACATGAACACTCCTCACAGTTTCCACCTGACCAGAGGGACAGACAGGCCTTCAAATAGAGCAGGAAGGGTGTGGAACAGACTTTAGGAAAACTTTTTCACTTCTCATCATTATGAAATGCACTCTAGCAAGGTATCAAAAGAGATCAGGGCTCTGTTCCACCTTTAAGACTAGGAGTAGTTTTCGGTTTGCAGGATTTGCTGTCTCAGCTTTCATGGGCTGTGGCCTCTATTTTTAAATATGTCTCGTATTCATGGAAACACAACAATTGCCATGCACAGCCATATCTCAGTGCCACCTGCGTTACCCTGGGGGCTTATCAGCAGTTATCATTTGGAATCAGTCAGCAGTCAAGCAATCAGTCAGCATTGAAGGTCGCATTGTGCATGTGGTGCTGTGGGCACAGCAGTAAGGAATGAAGATAGAGCATCTCTGAGACGATGAGGTCATTTTGCAGAAAAATCATCATAGCAACAAAAACAACATTACCTTCTATTTGCTTGTCACTTTACACTTGTCGGTAGCACCACCCAACTCAGGCTGCTGAGTTCAGTTTTGCAGATTGCAAATGGAAGTAAATGAGTGATGGCATCAAGAGCTGTACACAGTACACAACCTGCCCCACCATTCATGATGGCCCCATCACTCATAAAATCTCATGTAAAGCTTTATAGGTATAAATTTTTATGTATTTTATGTTGATTTCACCATCATTTGTTCCTTGTGACAGTTTGGTGAGATTGCAGGTCTAGTGTCATTCTCCCCAAACTGTAAGTGAGGAAACCGAGTTCCAGAGTAGAGCTGGGACTGTTCTAAGTGACTAGCAGAATGAGATTAGAACCCAGAACTGGTAGCTATTGGTTCAGGGCCATTTTTAACAGCAGACTCAATTAACCTGGCCATTCAGGGACACACCTAGCTGCAGGAATGGGCTGTGGATGAGTCGTTGGGCACAGACCTTGCCTTCTCTCCTCACCTCACATGTGGTACCTGGCCTAGCCCAGCCTTCCCTGGGGCCAATGTCCCTCCTCATGCCTGTCCTCTCCATCTCTAGGTTTGAGCGGGAGCAGAACGACACCTTCATCATGGAAATCCTAGACATTGCTCCATTCACCAAGATGAGGATCCGGATTGACGGGCTGGGCAGCCGGCCTGAGTGGTTTCTGGAGAGGGTAGACTACCTT